CAAATGGCACCATGATAGGCAGCTGTGCTTCCAGGTTGGTCACTTGAAGACTCCAGAGAAGCACAGCTAAGTTATGTAAATCGCTTATCTTATTTTCCTTATCTACCCACTAGATGTAAGTCTCTCCAGGGAGAAGAATTTTATCTGTCTTGCTCATGTATCGCCAGCACCTAGGATAGTGCCTGGCACACAGAATTTCTGTAATAATAGTGGTTGGGTGAATGAATACATGAATAACTGCATCTATGTTTTCACTGGGACTTGGAGCCAACCCAGCCAGCCTATCTATGAGAGTGACTTGGCAACAATAGCCCTGATTGTTGTCAACTTCTACTGTGTCTTAGAATGTGAATGTGGGAAATGACAACATGCCTGATTCCTCCTATTCTTGGCTTGATTTTCTTTTGGATTTTCCAACTGCCTGCTCTCCACCCACGATGCAGAGAAATAAAGAATGGGGTTCATTATGTCTTAACAGGCCTGTCAGCTTAAACTAGACATACATTTCTTGTCCTTTCCTTCACTGAGCTGTTAATCTGGGTGCTTTACTGAATTGTTCCATTTCAGGGAGGGCAGAGGTGATTTTCTGCATGCGTGGTTCATGGATTAAGGTACTTTGGGGGCCCTGGAAATCTTTTCTTTTTTCCCTTCCTGCTTTCCTTTCTTCCATTTTTTAAAATTTCTCTCTTAAAAATTCATTCAATAACAATTTATTGAGCCCTACAAAATGGCTGGCATCGTGCTAGGCACTGGGGAGAAATACAAAAATAAATAAAACATACTAATTGCCCTCAAGCAGCACACAGTCTATTAGACAAACAATGACTGCAAGGCAATGTGATCAATTGTGTTGGAGTAGCTTGTGGAGAATGGTATGTTGGCTCAGGAGAAGGAATCAACATCTACTGACAGGAAGAGTCAGAAAAGGCCTCACAAATGTGTAGTTTTGAAGCATGCGTAGAAATCGAAACCTGAATAGGGGTGAAGGGCTCTCAGGCAGAGGCGAGAGCATGTGGAAAGGTTCCAAATAATATTCCATGTAGTGGAAATCAATGAGGTGTGCCTGTTGGGTAGTGGGCACATGGAAACATCAGGCAAGGTGCATGCCTGGTATAAAGATGCTTATTTGCCATGCCTTTGTAAATCCAAGCTTTTGTCTATGGACAGTAGGAATTTATAACATACAGCAAGCAAAGTGACACGTTTGAAAAGACAATTTTAGCAGCCGTGCTGAGGGTTGATTAGACAAGGAAGGAGTAGAAAGGCCTTTTGCAGTTTTTTCGGGAGAGATGGGTTTAACAGATACTTAGGAGGAAGAAGTGACACTTTAAAATGAGGAAGGCACAGATCAGGGAGTAAGCTGTGAACATGTACTCATCCGTCATCCAAGTGAAGATGCCCAGGAGGGAGGCAGAGCTGTATATCTGCAGCTCCAGAAAAGGGTGACATCTGAGGAATGCATCCAGAGTCATTCGGGACCCAATGGCATTTAAAGTCAAGAGAGTGGGAAGATCTTCAGGAAAAGTCTTCAGCGTCAGGCCCCCACGTTAATGGTTAAATTGCATGGAGGATGACCATTGGATGTTAGATGAGTTTCATCTCTTTAAGTCAGGGCTCTGTGGAACCCTAAGAGATATTTCAAGAAGTCTGGGAACCCCTGGCATTTTAAGCAAAACTTTGTTAAAATGTAGCTTTTTGTGAGGATAGAAACTATAGCTTTTACCAATTTCTCATAGGGGTCTGAGTCACCAAAGGGTTAAAGTCCACTGTGCATCAATAAATATTTCATATCTGCCCATGATGCTTAGGACTTGAACTGAATTAAAGAGGAGTTTGGTTCAGGCTGGAAAATAAGTTCTATTCTGTTCAGATCAAATCTCCATAAACGTATAGTTCACATTAAGAGTATGTTTGCTCATATAACGAAAGTGGAGGATTGAAATAATCGTCTACATGGTTTAAAATTATTACCTTTTCTTTCTGAATGAGATATCTATTCCAGGAATTCTTAAATCACCATCCCTTTAGATCATTCTACTCACCACCATGATTACATACCACCTCTGGTTTTGTTTCATATTTTGAACTTGATCCAAATTTCTCACTTGACCATTACAGCACATAGTCAAGTCTGTCTCCTTAATAGCCTTCCCCACGTAAAAGAGCTTTCATTGAAGGTTATATGTTTAATAGAATCTGACTACAGCATAAAATTTGCCAATTCTTTTCTGCATGAAAGGACACTTTGCAGAAAGTGAAAGGACAATGATGAAATGAGAAAAAAAATATTTACAAATCACTTACTTATCCGATAAGGACCTAGTAACCCTAATATACAAAGAACCCTAACAACTTAAGAATAAAAAGACGAATAACCCAATTTACAAATGGGCAAAGCATTTGAATGAACATTTCTGCAAAGAAGATTCACAAATGATCAATAAGGACATGAAAAGAATGGTCAAAATCATTAGTCATTAGAAAAAGAAAATCAAAACTATAATGAGATACCACTTCACACTCAGAGGATGACTAGAATTAAAAGCAAACAAACAGAAAATAACAAGTGTTGGTAAAGATATGGAGAAAGTGGAACCTTCAAACATTCCTGATGGAGATGTAAAATGGTAGAGCCATGTGGAAACCAGTTTGGCAGTTCTTCAAAAAGTTAAAGATAGAGTCACCATATGACCCAGAAATTCTACAATTACATATTTACTCAAGAGAACTGAAAACATTTGTTCACAAAAGGAACTGGCACACAAATGGTTATAGTAACATTATTTATAAAAGCCAAAATGTAGAAACAACCCAAGTGCCCATCAACCGATGCCATGTTAAACAACATGTGGTTTATTCTTATAATAGAATATTACTCAGCTATAAAAAAGAATGAAGTCTGAACAAGGATGAACCTCGAAAGAAACCAGACACAGAAATCCACATATTGTACCACTCCATTTATATGAACAGTCCACAATAGACTAATCCATAGAAACAGAAAGTAGATTAGAGGTTGCCAGTGGGTGGGGAGAAGGGAATTGGGAGGTATGAGGTTTCTTTTTGGAATGATGGGAATGGTCTCAAATACATAGTGGTGATAGTTGCACAACATTGTGAATGTACTAAGAGCCCCTGAATCGCACACTTTAAAATAGTTAAAATGGTGACTGATATGTGAATTTTATCTCAATAAAAACTACCCAAAAAAACCCCCACACCTGCCTATTGCCTTTAATTCTACTCCAGAAATTAGACAATCATAGAATCTACAAACTTTTTAAAAAAGATCTCTCCCATTGTCTTTGCAAAAGTCAAATGTTTTCACATAGGATAAAAATTCCTCATTTTGAGACCAGCAATATTTATTGTGACCCTGTTAAAAACACAAGCACATTGAAAATCTCACTTAGTAAATAAGTAAAGAAGTAGGGGAAATAATTAGCACACTTAGTGAGTACAATTCTACGACTTGGGACAAATAAAATGGCAAGGCATTCTATTAAGAGCTCTTTAACTTTATACAGGTGTAAGAATCCACATTGCCAGCCACTGTCCCTGCCTCTGTTTCTTCCAGAAAGTGAAAGCTAAGCTTTGGCCATCAAGGCACTTGAGAATTCTTTTGAATTTCACACATCATTTTGGACTGAAATGATATGTTTCCATTATATACATTTCCATAATAGTGTGTACCACTGACTTCCCCGTGCACAATTGTTCCTACTTGATCCCCCAGACAAATGTATTTCTATTTGTCTTCATATCATACTGCATAGAGGGGAGGGAGGGGCTTAATTTTTTGAGAGGCTGGTAATAGTGTTAAATAACTAACAAAAAATGTCCAGGTCCCAGTAAGATCGATAACCATGATGTGGTAGAAAAAAGAATTTTTTTTCGAAGTAGTTCTCTCTGGCCTGTGTGTGCATCCCCCTCTCTTCCATGAACTCTTTCATGACTCGGTTCCTACACCATAATTAGTGTAAAATAAATAGGTGCAGCCCCTTGTTCAAAAGTACTAAGAACTTCAGAAAAGCATCGCAAAGCCACACACTTGCGCGCTGTACACCTCGCAAAGCTATGGTCGGGTGAACTCCTGGCTCCACCACCTCCTCCCTGTGGTTAGAGGCAAGTTCCTTAAACTCTCAGAACCTCATTTTCTTCACCTGAAACATGAAGCTAATCATCCCCATCTCGCTCGTCGCTGCCAGGATTATTCTGTAAAGTCTCAAGCTCGAATACTATCACTTAACATGTTTTTAATGTTCCTGTGGGGAAGGGAGCCCTGTGTATTTCGATTGGGCGTGAGTGGCAGGAAAGCCATTTGGTGGATTAAATAAGGGTCCTTCAAAGATTAAGGAAGGGGGGCAGAGAGGGGCTGCTCTCCCTCTCATCTCCGACCTGACACACTTTGCCTGGCTCTGTGTTTTTATTAGCTTGCATCCTCGGTACATCAGTGGCAAGGGTGATGAAACCGGTGGCAGATTTAACTGCCAGGCAGCTGGGTCACTGTCCCGTGGGTCTTGTTGTCATGCCGCGATCTTAAAGTGACCACGGCTCTTTGGGCTGCTGCTTTCCAAAAGACTCCGAGTGAGACCACTGAATAGTTAACCGGTGGAAAGGGGAAGAAAGAGGCTGTTGCTTGCAGAAAGCACAGAGACGCCGCTTTGAGAAATCCCAGGGCGGCTGGATATCAAGAACATGGTTCGTGCTGTGGGCAGCTGTGTGTGCGAAGGGCAGCCTGAGGGCTTAAAATCAAATCTCCAGCACGGGTTGGTGCCCATCCCCTGGGGCGCGGGCACTGGAGGCAGAAGGCCTGAGCACTGTAATATGAAGAAACCCTCACTGCTACCTATGGATGAGGGATCTCGCTTACAGTGATCTTTTTCATTGTTGGCAACCTGTGAATCATGTGTTCTAAGAAGAAAGAAAGGAGAGGAAAGGAAGTGAAGGAGAGGAGACAGGATGACTTATTTCCCAGGGAAAATCTGCAGGCCTCTTACCTGGAACCTTCTCATGTCCCTCGGGTTTCCTGCTGTTTTCAAACAATTCTGATTGCACTTGAGGAAAAACTTTAAAAAGAATCTGTGAAAAGAAAGCAATGCGTTACATTTTTAAGTAAACATGTTTGAAGAGAGAATATCCATGCATTCTATTAGATTTGGTTTGAAGGTGATTGTATTTCAGGCCTGGGGAATTTCAGCGGCCCTGCCTGGGAAGGAACATGGCTGACCCTCCGCAATTTGCAAATTTGGATGTTTTCTGTGGCAAGTCAGCTCCATCTCTGTGGAGGATCGCACAGTGGTTCACAAGTGGGGTTCTGGCTTGTGCCCACGCCCCAAGTTGCTAGGGCATTCTCTCAGGAGAAAAAAAAAAAGCTTCCAAAGGGGCAGTGGCTCCTGCGGAGCAGAAACGGCTCCCTCCGAGGCTGAACATGGCATGACTTAGCCCAGAGTCCAGGGCTCCTCCCGACTGTGGCCTTCTGCTGGCCACACACACCCCTCTCCCCCCCACACCCTCACCCCAACACCCTTACACACAGAGGGGGCCTGATAGTTTCAGCCAATGTGCATACACATCAGAAAATGTTATGTTACCACTCAAAGACAGAGTCAGTCTGTGCAGGGTACACGCTGGGGGTTTTATGATTAATAACAAGAGTGAATGTCCTTTTACTCCTTCTTATAGATTATCCAGAAAAAATAAAGGCACAGAATAATGGTCCGAGGTCATCATTCATAAGACATATTTTTTAAGCCAATAATCTCCTAAATGAACTAATTTAAAAATGGGGCATCTTTAATCAGATAAGTACATCCACCAAGAAAAATGGCAGAAGCCGCCTTTTCAGTGATTTATGTATTTAATGTTTGGAAATTTGTTTCAAAATACAATAAGTTTTTCATTTATTTTACTTGCAGAGTCTTTTTCCTTAAAAAAAAAAAATCCAGCTTTTGCAGTGCTAAAGTCCCAGGTGAGCTAGGCCTATTTCCCTTTCTGTTACTATGACAACGAAATTTTACCGCAGTCCCAAAGTCCCTTCAGAACTCTCACATCCATGCCTTGAATTAGAACTTTAAAGGAAAAGATATACATTTCCCCCAGAATTTACCAGCAAAAATAAGAAGAAATCAACCGTGCTCCCAAAAATTCTATTTTAAAGCAACGGTTGGCGAGATGCTCGCATGCTGACCTCGTGTTTATTGTTAATTCTTTACAAAGCACACAGAAGAACTAGAGAGCACTCCAATGGATGGTATTTCACACTTCAAAAAAAAAAAAAAAGGAAAGCTGATGGAAAGATAAACAGTAAATGATAAAGGAGGAGAGGAGGGGAATTGCACTTTTCTGAGGGTTTTATTTATTTTTTTCTGTGAATCTCCTTTTCTCTAGACTTGCTAAAAATAAGTGGCCAAGTGTTCCTGCCCCCTATCTAATGAATAAGGTTGGGTGTGAATTTAGACATAACAGTTAAATACTTTTTCATTATCTTATAACATCTGCTTTTCACATCTCCCCTGTAATCCTTTTTTTTTTTTTTTTTTTTTACTTTGAGGAGTATAACCATCTTTTTTTTAACCTTTTCTGGGCGGGAGGTGCCCACCCAGGGGCCTGCGATGAGAAGGCCGAGGAAAGGCTTTGCGCAGCGGCCTTCAGACTCGCAGCCTGCCCGCGCTCCCAAAGTCAAAGTGCGCCCTGTGTCTGCCCGCAGCCCTCGGAGCACTTTACAACGAGAGCCGCGTTTATTTGAGAAAAGATGGACTCGGAGTCAAACATTCTGCTTTTGACGGGGAAACAGTCTTCCATTCGTGCGTCTGCCGCAGCCCTCTGCGGGCACCGCCGGCGCCCAGACGCTCTCCGCAGGCTCAGAACTTGCCTTTTCCCTGGGAAGTCTCTCTCCAGACAATAGTCCCCACCCCCGCACCACATCGCCCTCCAAGGCCCCATCAGTGATTCACTTCTCGCCTCCTATGTCACCTCCACCCCATCCCTACCCACCCCACCCCGCCCCCCCCAAAAAACAAAAAACCCACTAGAATCTAATCAAGTGCTTTCTCTCACTAACGCCTTGATTTGGGGAAAGTTTTCCCACAATTGGGCTCCACATAATGCTTTCTGTGTGTGTTATACTTCCCCTTACCTACCCCACCCTTCCTCTGAAACGTATCTGGTGAACACATTAATGTTCATGAAGGCGTTATTATAGCCATGGTGTGGTGGGTGGAAAAGTGCAAAGGAGATAAATGTTTACATAAAATCAAATTGGTTTAGGGAAACGAGGGGCCTGCTGAAAAGCTTTATTCATTTTTAAATTAGGACCCTTAACAGTCCTTAGGATGGAAAACACCCAGCTTTGACTCATTTTGCTGGTTTCAACCTACACAGCCCCCTGCACACTAAAGATATAACATACTGTTCACAAAGGCTAAGAGAGTGGTGGGGGAGGGGGTGTGGGGGCGGAGGAAGAATCCTCTTATATTGTATAGTACTTTGTAAAAGAGGCTTAGTTATTTCTATTTCTAAGTGGCCAGCACCAGAAATTATGGCCTGGATAGTTTACATGTGGACCTAGAAATTAATTTAAAGGAATTCTGGGGCTCACTGACATCTCCAATTTTTTCTCTTCTTTTTACTGATGTCTTCCACCTGCCTCCTTGTACCCCGCCACCCATCATGCTCAGGGGCTTGGTACAGAACCCTTTCCTGACCAAACCAGCCATTAACCACAGGGTAACGTTCAGGGAACAAATCCCCTGGGTCCAGATCCCTCTGCAGGCAGAGCTGCCTGCAAAATGTCAGCTCTCTCTACTTAGAAATGGGAAACCAAATGAATTTCAAGATTCAGACCAAATGTGTAGATTCTCATCGGGATGGAAGTTATTTTCACTTTCTCCAAAAAATGTTGACTATATAAATACAATCACCACTTCGCAAGGCCTCTAATCTCCTACCTTAAGAGGATGCACTAACAACTACAAGTTTATCCTCCTTTTATAGATAAAGAGGAACAGAGAGGTGGGGTCAGACATGGAAGCATGCAACAGAATGATGAATCTCAGAGGGAAGGGGGGGGGTGAGAAAAGATTAACCAAAGAACTTATATGCAAATATGTATAACCCATGAACACAGACAATAGTGCAGTGAAGGCCTGGGGAGGGGTTGGTAGCAGGGTGGAGGGAAGTCAATGCGGGGTGGTGGGGTGAACATCTGTAATACTTTCAACAATAAAGATACATTTACAATTATGAACTCAAGTAAACTTTAATTGAAAAATAATTTTTTTAAAAAAAATTTTCCCTCCTCCCCCCAAAAGTGGACTCAAACCCTCAGATTTCAATCAAGTTCCTAGGTCAACCAAAGGGCATTCCTTCACTCCATAAATATTTATTAAATGCTGACAGTGAGCTAGTCTCGATCTGCTACCAACTAACTTTGTCACCAAGTTACCTTGCTTCTCTGGGCCTTGGTTTCTTAAAGTGTTAAGAGGGTTTAACCGGATTATCCGTAGGGTTCCTTCCAGCGTTACTATTCTATGCTTGCTAAGAAAAACACAGCGAGTTGAAAACCCACCAGAAATGGCTACACTGGGGGCAGAAACCACTGAAGGCAAAAAGATCATCACTTACTGAAGCCCAGCTGGAGGTGGGAACAGGGCTTTTCTGAGAGATAGATCAAGCCCACTGCTCTGAGAGTGAACCAAAGAGGCAGGAACGGCTGACTGGTAGAAAATGGAGCATCTTGGCTGATGCGTTGGCCGGAGCTGGTGGTATCATGAGGTTGATGGGCAAGTTGCTGAGCGAGATGCACCTTCCCTTAGCATCCTTTCTCTATGCTTCCAAGGCAGGAGAAGGTGGCTCAGGAATATCATAGACCACAGCCATCTCTGTCCCTGCTCACCATCCTTTGTGGTCCATCAGCTGAAGGGTACAGGGTCACAGAGGACAGGGGAAGAAGGCTAGCCAAATGCCTATTCTGTGCCATGCTCCCAGCTATGTTCTTGATATTCATTGCCTCATTTATTTTTCACAACTTTATGAGTGGCAAATCATCTCACAGCTAGGAAAACAAAGGCGCCAAGAATTTATAAATTTGCCCAAGACCACACAGCTGGTGAGTGACGAAACAAGAATTTAAACCTTGGCCTTCCTGGCAACAAGTCCCATCTGGCGTCCTATGTTTCCTGCACCAATTAGGTTGCGGTGTTGGTGGCAAGGCTCTGTGAATATACTAGAAGCCACTGAACTGTACACTTGGAATGGGTGAAGTGTATAGTATGTAAATAATATATCAATATGGCTGTTTAAACAAAACTTCAGAGCCCTGGCTGGTGTGGTTCAGTTTGATAAAGTGATCCTGTACACCGAAAGGTTTCGGGTTTGATTCCCGGTGGAGTGTGTAAGGGAGGCAACTGATCAATCTCAATCTCTCTCTCTCTCTCTCTCTCTCTCACCCCCCCTTCCTCTCTCTAAAATCAATGAACATACTGTCAGGTGAGAATTAAAAATAAACTTCAGAAAATATGGTCTAAAAAAGCAAAGACAGCAACAATAACAACAAAACTATAAAGGATTCGGGTTTCTCAAAAATTGAGAGGATGATAGCACACCAAGAGGAAAACATTAGGTCAAAGATAGTGGCATGGAAGTAAATGCTACTATTGAAAACCCCTGGTGAGTTCATTTATTTACTGACTTGATAGTTATTAAGTATGCAATATTTGCCACCAATATTCAGGCATGATGGCAAACAAGATGGACAAAATCCTTGCCCTCATGGAACACACAACCAAACTATTCAAAATATGCTTCTTCAGATTCTGAGATGAGTCTAGAGACCTCTGAATAAGGGTCTGAGTACAATCCCAGGGGCTTACCTAGTACTCAATAAATCTCTTTTCTTCCCCATTCTCTGGAATATTGGAGCACTTAGCACTGTCTAAGAATAGTATGAAAGCTTCTAGGTGGCTCTAAACAAGTGCTGAGCACATCCCAGATAGAAACTGATATGTAAACTAGATGCACAAATAGGATGTGGACTTAAGGTCTGGTGGTAGGACAGGGAGGAATCTCTAAACCACAGGAAG